AAAAAAAATATATAATTACAGAAAGTAAAATACTTGTATATAAAATAATTGGAATCAGCCATATGTTCACATTATTTGACATATTATAATAACAGAAGATTGAATTATGATTTCAATATTCTTCTTTTAAGTGAATTTAATAACTCTCAAATCTATGCAATATTGATATGGGCTATAAGTAGCAAACAGGTTCCAGTTTGGCAATTAATTTACACTCCAAAACAAGAAGAGTTTATTTTTATTCCCAGAAGACAAGATGGTGAATACAGATGGCCAAAGGTGTTAATTACTTATATCACATGACTCACGGGCAGGTGTTGTCATTCTGCTTGAGCGGTTGATCATTCATCATTATGTTTAATAGCTCTCTTTAAAAGTCTCTTTCAGTATCAAAAAGAAGGTCAGTTGGCAGGCACATATACTTTCACTCTAGTGTAGTGAATGAATACATCAGGCATGTTAATGGTGTGGTAAGGGAAAACTGTCTGTCAGATTGAAGCAGCCATCTGCCAAATAAATCCCCAAAGTTAAAGCTTTGAAGCACATTACTTTGGGCTTGTGTTAGAAAACATTGGTATACTATAGCTAAATAAGTCAACAGCTCATAGCAGCAGAGTAAACAATATAATGAAAAGAAACAGGATATACACACTCTGGGAAATTGTTATTTGCACGTGTATTTTTGTGTGTGTGTGTGTGTGTGTGTGTGTGTGTGTGTGTGTGTGTGTGTGTGTGTGTAGTGCTTCATTAAATTCATAAATCATATCTGATGCTAATAAAATTTATTTACCGATTTTGTCATCTTTACTGTGAAATTTCAAATATGATGTATCTCTCAAACAAATAATGTTGAGCGTATAGGGTACCTTAATCTGGTAGGCCTATTCCTTATTTAATAGATGTACTAATATGCTATCTAGTCTTCATTTGCATACAATTAAATATGCCACAAAATAATGTCTCTGAATGAATAAAATGATTGATTGTTGCATTAAAGATTAAGTTAAAATATGATTGTCAACACAATATACCGGTAGGCTACTTGTCATAGGGGGTAGTTTGGGATTTATGTCAAAATGAGCAATGGTTTTAACACATTTGTTGAGGTGGCAGCCAGCACCACCTGGTAGGTATTTTCTGTCAGACAAGTTTTCTGTCAGATATAGATAGTTGTACTACAGTATCTCGCAGCTGCTGTCAATATGTTTCTCATGATTTTACCTCAGTTATTAAGGTGGTAAACATTTGACTGGCATTTCTGGCAAAATGTGCTTTTTTACCCCAGTTAGTAAAGTGAACATTATTACTCGTATTTCAAGATTTGACAAGAAGCGATACTCGTGTGTTAAATGTTAAAAAGTAGTTAATTTTGAGAAAGAAGCTTGTTTCTTAAGACGAGCTGCGGCAAACTCGTTTTAAACGATAAGCCTGACTGTGCCGGGCTGCCGCTTTTATACAGAGATCCGGGACGCCTTATCTCAGAAAGAGGGGTGCTACGCAGCGCTCAATCTGCGTATATAAAATATCCGATCGTTTTTTAAACCACACATTTGTATTTCTTTATCACAAGAATCTGTGCTTTCCTTTCGCTTTTAACAAACCTATTTCACTTTGTAAAATAACATTTTGTTTTTACCGCGGGATCCCCCACCCTTCAATTGGAGTGAAATTGTCCGCATAAAAGGAAACGTGAAGATCATAACGGAACAGTGTGGGGAAAAAACTCCGTACAGTTCCTCATTCTGGTCATTTAAAATTAAAGACAACGACTTCATATTAAAAACGAGGGTTTCGGTTATTTGAAATGTAAAAAGGTAGGATTTCTGTTTAGTACATTCACTTTTTATTTTGTACCCTTAACGATCGTTAACGGCTTCATTGTCATTTTAACCTAATTTGAAATATTAAAATGATATGGCATATTGTAAATGAAATACTGTTATCCACTTTGCCGAATGACTTTTAGGTGTGGTATGCACTATACTAATACAGGCAGGTTTAGTTCTTAAGACTTAGTTTTTTTCTTCATGTTTCACAATGCCACATAATAAAGAGTTCTGTGGCAGTAAGTTACCATGGTACAATGATGATACAAGCTGGTAGTGTCATGGTACTTTGATAATACTAGGCTACTGTCATTTGTTATATACTATGGTACTGAAATATGTGTACCATGCTATTCTATGGAACTCCAAGTTATGCCCAAGAATTACCCTGGTATTAGCCTACTATGGTACTATATCCAAAAACCTGTGGTAGTAGTACTTTTATTTTTAAGTAGACACAGGCATTAAGTATAATACACTGCACACTAAAATATGTGATTTATATTAATTATTAATGTATGTTTTTGGTTTCTTAAAAAAAAAAAAAAAGATTAAGAGCCTCACATTATTACAGGAAATTACAGATATTGTACTGTACAGTTGAGGCAGGGTGATGCAGTGTGCAGGCTCGGGGGGCCATGATAGGATTTGTTTTGTATAAAAATGCAGAACTCATATATTTGGCATTTACTGCTAAAGAAAAAAAAAGAGAAGGAAAAAAGCACCGCCTATCTCCAGTGGAGCAGTAACAGGAGTGATCTAACAGTGTGTGGCAGGTTACTAAACCGCCGTAGGGGTCGGTCAGCAGATTGTGTGATGTGTTGAGCAGGCAGATGGGCAGCCATGAGTGTGTGTCTTCTCTCAGTGGGCTGCAGCTTTCTGCGCTTCCTCCTGTAACATGAACACGCTTGCATGTTTACGCCTGACTTCTTTACACACTCCTGAAGTACAGCGCTAGGTGAAGCCTGTTGTATTAACACGGACACGCATGGCTGGCTGCCTGGCTCTAAAATGTTTTAAAGGGGTCATATCCTGAGGAATCATGCTTCCTAGATTTTTTGATAAGAGTCATTGTACTATGAAAACATAGTGGAACTGTCAGATCTCAAAACTTCCTCCCCAGTTAGAAAAACAAAACAGAAAGTGGACTTCAATGCAACAAAATATTACACATATATAATATGTATGCATGATATGGCCCTTAATGATTTTACTAATAAATGATGTTACTGTGAATGACCCATTAGAGATGAAATCACTAATGACTAATGTTCATTTTACAGTAATACTCCGGAGCAGAGCAGGAAAGAGTGTGTGTGTGTGTGTGTGTGTGAGAGAGAGAGAGCAAATGTGTTTTTTCCCGTTAGTTTATTTAAATGATCTGATTTGTTTGCATGTTTTACTCTAACGTTTCTGTAAAGTCCTCTTGTTTCCTGTAAACTCTTGTGTAAATGTTTAAGTGCGTGTATAGGCTCTGTCCATCTAGCACAGTGGTTCTCAAACACTTCAGGCTAAGTAGCACCTCTGATCAAATCAGAACATTCAGGTAAAAGCAAATTTCAAATAAATCAATATTAAATTGTTTAACACATGCACTTCCGGCAATCCCAAAATAATAATGCGGGTTAATAAAGCCTAAAAACGGTCCTAACCAGATTTGACTCGTTATTTGACACACGATAAAAGGTCCACATTAAAATGATAGTTCACCCAAAAATTAGCCTACATTTTGTCATCATTTACTTGCCCTCATGTCGTTTCAAACTCGTAAGACTTTCGTTCATCTTCGGAACAAACAAATGAAGATATTTGTAATGAAATCTAAGAGATTTCTGTCCTTCCATTGACATTGAACTACCACTGTGACACTTCAAAAAGTTCATAAAGAGATTGTAAGACTACGACAAATGAATTGGGCATTTTAGTCCAAATTTTACGAAGAGACTTGATTGCTTTACATGACGATTGTATTATTATATGACGAGATTGAAGTTAGGCTTTTATTCACATATAAATATTGATCAGCGAACTTAACCAGAAGCTCAACCGCAAGAACAAACTTTGTTGGTTCTTGCGAAAGCTCAAATGTGCTGCGTAACACGAGAAGGAACCTCATTGGTTCTTGCTGAAGCTCAAACGTGATGTATAACACGAGAATGAACCTCATTAGTTCTCAAACGTCAAGTGAACATGCTTGAGCTTCCGTTTCTGTAAAACCATAACTGATGTGTGAGTATATGTGAATAAGAGCCTAAATTAAATCTGTTCATCATATAAAGCGATTAAGTCACTTCAGAAAATTGTGACTAAACCACTCAATTCATATGGATTCGTTTTATGATCTCTTTATGAACTTTTTGAAGTGTCAAAGTGGTAGTTGCGTAGACTGTCAATGGAGGGACAGAAGTGTACTGATTTTGTGCTTCATTTAATGTTGAAATGGTGTAATGCGAGTTTGAATATCATTCCGCTTGCCCTTTTATAGCCATACTGACAGTGACGATGAATAATTCACCTCCGCTGAGCAGATTTTGAAAACAAATGAAAGGAAACAAGAACTTTCAAACTCAATGTGAACAAACAAGGGTATTTAATGACAAAGATTGTCTCGGGCACTTAGTAAGTGTTTTTAATAATGTTAAATTGGTTTACTATTTATTAATTAGCTACATTATCCATTTCCTTGCAAGTGCAGTACTCTTGCAGAGAGACTCCGCCCACATGCTCTTCTGATTGGCTGTGATATTTGATTGATTTTGTCAGGTCTCGGACAGACAAACTGCTTGTCGCTGGAATCTCGTCGCATCACGTCTGGATAGGACACGGTGTTAGATGCGCAAACCTATGTAAAACTTGATAAACAAAAAAAGAAAGATAAATGTAAATGAATTGAAATAAAATAAACGTACATTTTTACGTTTTTAAGTATTGCAATTTTCCATAGTTTGAGAACTGCTGACCTAGTAGACCTTATGACCTTCCTCTGACCTCTAGGGAGCTATCCTGGTTTTCCGGATAAAGGGTTTTTGATACAAGACTGTCCTACAATATGTCAGCACCGAGCCATCTCACAGAAAGTGCTGAACTCAGCTCAGCCCAGGTGTGGACTCACTGAGCACTCTGCTCTGCATCTTTATTTGGTTCTGGACTCATGTGAGACTGAACAGAAGCAGAACCATGTCCGAGACCCTCCAGCTGCCCGCGCTGCAGATCCAGGGCCCGGCAGACGGGGAGTGTAACGGATCCGTGGCGGATCCGGCCCTGTCCAGCTCGTCTCTGCGCCGCAAGCGCTTTAAAATGCGCCGTATGAAGAACGTCATGAGTGAGAAAGAGCAGGAACATCTTCAGAGTTCCGGCTCCAAGGAGTACCTGCAGCTCCCGTCCATTGAGATCACGCCGTCCAGCGACGAGGACGCGGCGTGGTCGAGCTGTTCCACACCCAGCGCCTCTCCCCAACGCAGACGCTTCCTCCTGCGCAAGTGGCTGAGAGGAGGAGAGAAAAAAGAGCACGGCAGTGAGAGCAGGTCTGTATGAGCACGAGCCCGAACCGTCCGACTCGAACCCTCGCCCACAAACCCATCCATTCTCCATTCCTGCTGTCCATCATGAGTACTGTGCATCACTTCATTTGAGTCTTCATGTGGGCTTGCTCTGGCACAATACATAGCAGACAACCCGTGTGTTTGTGTGTGAGTGTGTTTTCTGGAGCTCTGCTGGGACATTTATAGGCTGGAGGGAAGAACAAGCGGCCGCCTGTCTGGGGACGTCTTAAATATTCACGACTCTTCCTGCCTTTTAATTGACAAAAATACAACATGCAGTATGTATCTGCTATGACCTTAAGTTTGACTTCAAGCTGCATTAAAGAGATAGTTCACCCAAAAATGAAAATTCTGTCAGTAATGACTCACCCTCATGGCGTTCCAACCCCGGAAGACTTTCGTTCATCTTCGGAACACAAATTAAGGTATTTTTGATTAAATCTGAGAGCTGTCTCACTCCTCCATAGGCTTCTATGTTATTTAAACTTGCCGTCCAGAAAAGTTAGAAGGTTCAAAAGATCAGGGTTTATTTGAAATAGATTTTTTCTATTTTTGTAACAATGTGAAAGTCTTTATTTTTTTTATAAATTTAGGCCCTGTCCACACGGACACGGGTATTTTTATAACCGTGACTTTTTTTACGCGGTTCGGCCGTTCGTCCACACAAAAACGCACTGAAACCGAACAGTTTTGAAAACCCCTGCCAGGGTGAGGATTTTCAGAAACGCCGGTTACAGTGTTGTCGTGTAGACAGTGAAAAACCGGGGTTTTTGCCTTGCGACTTCAGAGTGTGCGCCGTTATCCGCTGTGTTTGACGTCAGATTTGCGCTTCTGATTGGCCAACGTGGCTTTACGGTTAAGGGTTATATCGCCGCCTGCTGGCGTGGCATGCTCTTGACCGCGCTTGATAGCGTGTTTTTGCGTTTTCATGTAGACGGAGACCGAGCGTGTGTGGACGGGATTTTTTTTTAAACGCTGTAGGAAAAACTCCGGTTATAAAAATACCCGTGTCCGTTTAGACAAGGCCTTAATGCATTAATAAAAAGTATTTATTTATTTTCAAAAAGGGGATTTTTTGCGTAATTGCATAATTCTCGTACTTGTGTTATTTCATAATATTTACGACTTTACTATCATTTTAAAATGTGGAAAATACTACTAATAAAGATTGAGAAGGTGTGTATAAAATTGTAACTGGTACCATACAGGGAATTTATGGTTTAGTAAATAAATTCAGATGTGTAAATGTTTGACATGACTGAGATGAATCAGGTAACAGCTGTGTATTGTGAGTTGTCAGGTGTTTGCTGGTAGAAAACCCTTGTTACGCTACCAGCGTTCACTAATCTAGGGCTTCGGTATGTTGACCTGTTAGGCTGTTTTATTACCTGCTTCCTTTTCATGCAGTACGCAATAACTCAGCTTCTTAAATAACACGCCATAAGCGCGTTGTAGATAGAGGGCCCTATCATACACCCGACCCAATGCAGCGCCAAGCGAGACGCAAGTGTTTTTTGCTTGTGTTTGAAGAAATATCTTCTTAAATGCACTAGGTTTTTTCTTCTTAAGGCAAGACATTATAAACAACTGTGGGAGGATTGTGAAGGTTTCACACTGCACCTGATAAGCATGGCAAGTTTAACTGGTTAAATAGAAATATTGTTGTGTTGTTTTAGTTTACAGCACTCTAGTCAATTGGGACACTCTCTGCTGTCCTCTAGTGGGGAAGATTCAACTATCCTGAAAATTTGTTTTCTTAAAAGATGCTTCGTGGATGTTCCTTTTGGTTGTAAGCCCGAGCAACGTTGGACTGTAAAACTATGTGTCTTGTTTGAGCATTTTTTTTGTCACCATATAATTAAAAGATCACCGTGTGTCCAAACTCACCTTCTGTCGTCTCTTTCTCAGTGTGACGTCTGGTGTTTGTGTATTTCTTGTGTTCTGATTGTAATGTGCTGATGTGTGTTACAGCAGTCAGCAGAGCAGCCTGCAGAGCAGTCATGAGGAAGAGTCCACACGCTACCTGAGCCCCAACACCCGCGAGGACAGGTACTCCACGCCGATACACTGTGGACTTTACATGTCATTTTGATTGGCAGTGTGTTTTACATGTATGCGTTATGCTGCTCTCAACGTAGTTCCCACATGTCCAACAGGGGTCAGTAGTTGGTCAGCTCACATCTCTCTGAAGCCTGATTCGTATAATTCTACTGCACTAGTGATGGGAAAATATTTAGCCTATCACACAGTATGTGATATGTCCTGTGCCACAAGGGGTTATGATAGATAGATAGATAGATAGATAGATAGATAGATAGATAGATAGATAGATAGATAGATAGATAGATAGATAGATAGATAGATAGATAGATAGATAGATAGATAGATTGATTCAACAAAAGCATATACCATTGATTAACAACCTCAGAACTTACAGTAGTTATGTCTTTAAATGCTTATTAGGCATTGTTAAAAATCAATTTCGCTATGGAGAAAAAGAACAGAGGGTTTGCATTCTAGTATGTCATTTGGCTATTTTACTATTTTTAGTGTATTAGAAATGTACTATGTATAATTGTCTGTTTCCGCCTAAAGACTAAATAAGTAAAAAAAGAAAAAGAAAGAAAAGAAAGTAAAAAGGTACAGTAATCTTGACTTCACATATTATAATTGCTAAAGTATTTCAATTGTGACTTTAATTCTTACAATGCAACTTTATGTCCATAATTTTCTCATTATTTCAATGATAATTTTTCTCATACTTGCAATGGGACATTATATCTCACAATTATAATTATTGAATTACACAAATACTTCATTATTTTGGATTTATTGCTCATAATGTGACTTTAAAAATATATATATTTCACAATTTATTTGTTAGATGAAAACAGGCTAATCTGGTGTTTTTTATGTGACAAATAGTTTGCATATTTAGATTCAGCCTCTGAAAAAGAAAAGAAAACAATTGTCAAGTGACACCTTATAACGGCAGACACTGAGAAGCTTGACATGATCTGAACTTCCTGCAGGCAGCTGGTTTTAGTCTGCGTGTGGTTGAGAAGTTTCTGTTTTTCGTGGTTCGTGTTTTGCTTTTGAAGTTGTTCTTCTTTCTGTGTCAGATTCTGCATCTGTTATCTGGTTATGAGTCTGACCACACGGTCTGTGCCAACTCAAAAACAACTCTAATGCGTTTCACTTTCCCATGGCAGGGCTGCATTTTCTCAGATCATTTTTATTTTGTCGTCATCTCAGAAATTAAACCAGGTGCTGTGCAGGTTGAATCAGCGAAGCAAGTTTTTGGAGAGAAAGCTCAGATTTTTAGCTGTGCTCAAATGTTCTTGTTGAGCCCAGCTGGGCAAAGAACACTATGATCCTCGGCTGGAATATCATATGAGCTTTTTTTTTTTTTTTCATCTCCAGGCTTCAGGCGCTTGTTTATTTGTGCCTTTATTGGACCTCTTAGAACACGGTGTTCTTTTTCCTGGATGTATGAAATATGTCGTGTGATCGTTAATTCTTTTTGTGTTTGTTTGTTGCTTTTAACGTTCATCAGCATCATTTACCATTGTCTGAAAAGAGATATTTATAAACTCATTTAAGATAACCATTTATGTGAGTATGTGCATGAGTGTGTGTGTGTGTGTGTGTGTGCGCGCATCTATACATCTGCTAAAGTCAGTCAGAATGCGTACGGTCGCCCTCAGCTCAGTTTTGTGCACTCAGCAACCTGATTTCAGCTGATTCCTGAGCTTATTTTTAAATCAGTTTTGTGTCGTGACGTAAAAGCAGCTAATGCTCATTAAAGGTGATGAATGTTCAGCCTGCTTGTGTCCCGTTAGGCTGAATGAATCACAGCTCAACTCTCAATTACACACATACATACAGTACAGGCTCCCTTTCAGTTCATGAGTGTGAATTTGAATTGAATTGGCCACATCTCACATGATGTCGAATTTGAATTTATTTACAAAATTATTTTGACAAAACAAAGTAGGGTAGGCAATTTCGGAGATACTTGCAATTTCAAGCATACGATCCCACCCTCCTTTTAGAGCGTCTCCAAAGCCACGCCATCTTCAAAACACATGAACGTGTACAGCAGAGTTTGCAAAGCATCATGAGATGAGAGACGCGTTAAACTACAGGTACCTCATGTCTCAAAGCACATAACATTACAATAATAATCAACTTAAACAACTTACAGAGCTCTTACTTGTACTACCTGACTGCTGCAGGTTCATTTCGCCGCTGATAGTGTTGACATAGAAAGGCATAAATCCGAGTCTGAGGACGTGAACAGCGGGTTGCCATCTTGTAATGACGGTTACGACATTGCGTGAAGGCAGCATAAGCTCGTTGTTTTGGTTCAGGACGAACTGTAAAAGTGGCTGCTGTTAGTTTATAGCGCTCAGTGACTGTCTGGGCCCTATTTTAACTATCTAAGCGCAACAATTAGTTAACAAACGGATCTGCTCGTGGACAAGGTTAGAGCGCGCAAGCGTACCATCTACGGGACAAGCCGGATTCCACCATACCTTTATGTACACAATATTAGGCCCTGTTTACACGAGAACGCTTGCAGGGGTAAAAGGGAAAAATATTTTATCGGATGTGCCTTTCGTTTACACGGCGACGGCGTTTTTGGGGCTTAAAAACGCAAAAAAGTGAAACCACCCTCCAAAGTGGAAATCTTAAAAACGCTCCACCGTCGCGTTTCCGTCTAAACGGGTAAAAACGCAAATCTGCTCATGGCGGCTCTCGTCGCGTACGCATTTACGTCACAGGCATGCGCCAGTACAGGAAAATAACAACCAACATGTCAGATTATTTCCATACGTCGGACCTTCAAGTTGCCCTAGCAGCTCTGAAAAACGTCCAAGAGTCTTTTCAATTTCGCGCTACTAGGGAGAGAAGTAGAAGGAAGGTTGTACGCAGGCGCACGGACTTGTTGTTGTTGTGTGGCAGTGCTTCACATTGCCACCTAGCCGCCTGGAGTGCATACTACATCGCATTTCTAACACTTTTGCGTCTCCATTTGCACGCAGATTTCCCCCCCATAACGCTCGTCTAAACGCAGAATAAAAAGTGAAAACGAAACGCCACTTTTGCGTTTTCTCTTCAGATCGTTTCCGTGTAAACATGGCCTTAATCTTTTACATTGTAATCCTTTTATTTTTAATATTTGGCTAGTTTGTGTGCTACTTGCGCGTCCCTGTGTGTGTAATAAGCAGAGTGTACGCGCGTTGTGCACCTGCCTATAAGCGCACATTACTAACGCGCTCTTTAAATAACAAAATAAATATTGCGCCATTGACTTTAGAACAGGTTGTTGTTGGTCAATGGCGCAGTCTATTTCAGTTGCCTCAAAATAGCATTGCGCCAACAATGCGCCTGAACACACCTCGTTTTCAGACCAGCACACCCATGGGCGCATAAATAGGCTCAAATGCATTTGCTATTTAAACAGCGTGGCGCAGGACGTGAATATGATAACTGCGTCGGGCTGAAACTAGCAAAAAAACACTTGCGTCGCGCTTGGAGCTACATTGGGTCCGGTGTATGATAGGGCCCTCTGTCTACAACGCGCTTATGGCGTGTGATGTCGGCGCGAGCAGGTGCGCGGAGGTATGGAAATATTGACAAGCAGGTATTGACAAATGTTTTAATATTTAGACCACTTCTATTATTGATTGCTTTCAGGATGTGAAGAGAGTTTCAACCAAAATAACAAAAAGTGTTTATAAAACAAATTCTCTACCCTAGCTTTAATTTTGACTGATTATGCCTGATTGGCCTGATATATATATATATATATATATATATATACACATACATTGTTTCTAAAAAAAGAAAAAAGAAAAATGACTCTCAAATCAAATCTATCAATACAGAATTTAAGTGTGCCAGATTTTAAATTGTTCATGGTTTCAACCTATAAAAATAAATATTGAAAATATCATCCTACTTGCCAAATTGATTCAAAGTCAGGTCCAGCCGTGCTCATAAAGCAACAACCAAATCCATTCACCCTATCAGATCTGTGGTTATTAGACGTGCATTTTTGCCCACTATAGCACCCAAGCTCTTGTCTGAGACTCTGATGGTCATATTAGCATCTCTGCTGGTGGTCTGACTCACAGCCACACCTCAGGTGAGGAAACAAGCTGTGCTAATCTACAACACACACCGAGAAAATGCAGGATCTAGGTCACCGCAGGACAAGACACGGGCCGTGCAGAGAGAGAGAGAGAGAGAGAGGGAGAGAGAGAGATAGAGGAGAGGAGGGGGTGCAGGGAGTCCAGTAATGAGGAGTCTTCGTCCCGCTAGGGTGTGTGTGTAAACCGTGTGCAGGTCCACATGAGCAGTGCATCATGGTTCAGAGCAGGACTTTATCATGTACCTCACCCATCAAACTGGGCTGTCACCCACGGGTGTCCACGCTCAGGAAAAGACTGCACTTTCGTCGGGATCAGTGAGTACCTTTTGTCTGTTTTTGCCAGGTGTTGTGTACAGACTGTAATTGGCAGGCAGAAATTCATGGTCAGTTGATCCAGTCTGTATTGCTGGAGCAGATACTGTTTCCTGTGATGTATAGAATTACCCTTCAATTTTTTACAGTAGAGACGTAAAGAGGACAGAAGGTTGATTAAAACTTATAATTATTCAATATATTAGTCATGTTTGTGGTTATAATTTGTTCTCCTGCAGTTTTGAACCGAAAGCCACTGGATATTTGTGCATTATTTGCATTTATAATGCCTTTTAATTCACATTTATTTTTAGTTATGCGTTTTAAATGCATTAACAAATGCATTAAAACATTTACTTAATTAATAGGTTAAAGTAATATGTTATAATCTTCTTCATACACACACTCCTTCCCGCACTCTAAGATCTGCTTCTGCACTTACACTTGTTGTGTCACGCACTCGGACAACTTCTATGGGGTCACAAGCTTTTGGCTATGCTGCTCCCCATTTATGGAACTCAATTCCTGTAGAAGTTCGCAACAGTTCTAGTCTCTCAGTTTTTAAATCTCGTCTTAA